CAAAGGAGTACTACCGTATAAAAAATAAAGGACACTGAGACACTGAGTATAACGGTAAGAATATTTGGCTGCAGTTGTTGTCTTCAAAGAAGCTTGCATTTCTGGTTTGAATAGCAAAATAAAGAAAAGCATTTTCAACCAGAAAGGTGTGAGGGAAATCGTCCTCCTCTCGGTAAGACTTCAACAGGTGCCGAGCATACGGAATACCTACATACTGGACTTAACCACCAAACGTCTCCAAGAATGTGCAGCAATCAAATTTGCATTAATTCAATGTGCAACTACACGTTGCTTCTCAAAGCGGTGAAGAAGTCGAGCGTCACATTCGTACCTGAACATTAGCTGCACCCAACTGAAGCGGAGTATCTCTGACGGCTGAATGCCCTGTCCCGTTAAACTGAACATTCTAACAGTCTGCTGGTCCAAGGCAACACTGTGTGAGAGTGTCAATTTTTCTGTCTTGATACTTTAAGAGCTGGCTTGAGTTCATATGTTAAAATCACCATTAGATATGCATGGTGGAACGATGTTCTTACGCCGCTCAATGCCTTCTGACGGACGGTCAAACAACCAAATATGAATGATGGACGTGATGGGAAAATTGAGGGACACGAACCTTATCTGTCTTCAGAGAGTAAGTCCAAGATACTTGCAATTATATTAGATATACAATTCAATTTAATCAGTTTTTACTGGCTGCACTAGACAACAAGGAATAGGCTGATGGATCATGATAGAGATTCAAGCAGGATGAGTCAAACAGAAATCGGCTTAACGCTTTAATGTACGAAAGGAAGGCTAACAAATTACTGATTGAGGGAAGGTATAAAGAACCGATATATTACTTAAGGCCAAATGGTTGGAAGTGGGTAATGGATAATGAATATGGTGAAGTGAACTTGCATGAGTTCCAAGTAATTAACTAAAAAATAAAATGACAGCCATATGGAATAAATAAAATGGAAGATTTATAGTTGGCTCTGACAAACTTCAAGAAAAGAATCGGGCATAACAAAGAATATTAAGGATGGAACCATCAAGGCACAGAAAAATAATAGAATAAAAAATGCAATAAATTTCCAGTGAACGACAATGAAATGATTTACAGGATTTACCCGCCTAATTCAGGACTCTTTAGGCGTTTCTTCATCCTTCATCGTTGGTCGGAATTTTCGTGACTACGAGCGCTCGTCCATGCTCTACCAGTCTTCTCCCTTTTGGAGCACTTTTGGTGAGCGGTCACTGGGCAACTCTGGTCAAAA